TTTTTTTTGTACTCATGGTTTTCCATTTTGTTTTTCCCTGCAAATTCAGGCCAAAGAGCTTCCAACGTACAAGGACAATGACTTCATCAACGACGGTCAAAAGATTTACATCGACGAAAACAACAAAAAGATGTTTCTGGAGAAACTGAAAAAAGATGTGGAGGTGAGCGTTTAGGTTAAACACACGCAAACTTGGACCAGAAAGCTAGGAAAGACCAACTCTGCATTAGGCAGCTGTACAGAGGCTTTTGTAGAGGAGCAACTAATTCCACACTGAAAAGAGGAAAAAGCTTTTTGTTGTTTTTATTTACAAATAGGTACTCACATTGCGTACATAAATATAAACAAATTAACCTCTAAAAAGGCTAAATCCAGAAGAAACAGACAATGCTGAATACTAAATACTGTGAAATCCACCTATTATGCAACATCAATTTTAATCAAATATATTTTTATTTTAATAGTTGTAGTGTTAGTAGTTCCACGTTAAAATTCAAATCTGAAACATCTTAAAAAGAGAGTTGATAACTGAAGCTTCTTTATGTTGACTACCAAATTTAACAAGTGTTTACAGGAATGCACAGTTTAAACGCAGCAGATCACAGATAAAGAAGCTACCGTGACAGATTTAAACAGGGCATATGCTGTACTTTGCACCAAAATACAAAGTACCATTCTCATGCACCAAAACATGGAAAGTTAATCAAAATGCAAAGCTAAATATTCATCACTCAAACCAAGAAGTAGCAGCTGGCAATCCAGCAAAGCTGCAGGCGTAACCAGGTGAGGATTGTGCAGTGACATGCAGTTACCAGGTGAGGCTTGTGCAGTGACATGAGAAGCCAGATGGAAAAAAGGGACCTGCTACCTTAGTGTGAGGAAAACCTGGGTGTGCATCTTTCCATTTGTCAGTGCACTTGAGGTGGGGAAGGGTCGCTCTCCGCACATTCTTTTCTGCACCTTACTTGGCGTGCAAATTGAAAATAGTTTAATGAAGTGGTCAAGGAGTTGGCAGAGAAGTTATTCTTCTTAAGCATTCACACAGTTTTCAAGTAGTGGCAACGTGTCCGAAGCACCCTAGGTAATTTAACACGCTCAGCCACATTGCGTAATCGGTCTAGTCATTTATAACTCGCGGCAAACAAATAACAGTACACAGCATGCGCTGATCACCATGTTCTATTTCTGTGCGGTAAGGGAGATTACTGTAGATGCAGAGCAGTGCAGTTTTCAGGTGTGCTCTGTAAAACAGTCAGTTAAGAAGCAATCGATAGTAAACAGCTGTGTCCGGGGTAGTTGTGGAGGTAAGTGCTTTTACATTGGATGCAAGTCAGAGAAGTGGGTCTTAAGTAATGAAAAGGTTGCTAAACATTATTTACATTTTAACCGGCGAGCAGCTACAGTAGGCTGGCTGGCTGGTTTTGAAGAGCATCAGTCTTTGGGATAATAGAACAATAATGAGCTCAAGTCATCATTTGCCATCATTGGCAAGTTACAGTTGCCGGTGCGAGTTGATTAAGAATCTGTAAAACTAGCTGTTCGAAAAGCTGTTTTTCAATTTCATGCAGGGATGGAAAAATGTGTGTCCACGTCCCGCTTGAGCTCTAGGTATGGTTTCCTGGTTGGCCTCAGCATGACTGCAGGGAGTGTTTATGTGTGAGACGTTGCCTGAGCAGTGGGATGCTCCCATTAACACGACCAGAGAAACCGGTTTTATGAGCCACAACAGAGCTGACCCAGCTTAAAGGCTTGGACGGAGCAGTGGCTACAGTGTGAGAAATTCCAGGAGGAAGTAACTTATACGACAGCAAAACGACTATACCCATCCGTCTGTGTGAAAATGATCTGCGTGCTCGGGTGCCATTCAGGACTACCGCGGACAGCTGAGAGACCAAATCACTGCCTTATGTGCCTTAAGCCAAACTATGAATGGGCTTCATTACTCTGCTCTCCTCCCCACTGATAGCTGATGTGTGGTGAGCGTTCTGGTGCACTATGGCTGCCGACGCATCATCCAGGTGGGGCTGCACATTGGTGGAGGGGAGTCCCCATTACCTGTAAAGCGCTTTGAGTGGAGTGCCCAGAAAAGTGCTAAATAAGTGTAGTATTATTATTATTTTATTTTTTGTATTAGTATGTGGGCAGCAGAATATCTGAGACAGGAGACTTAGGGGCGTTTTATTCAAAGTTAAGAAGTGACCACGACAATTTGGATTTAAAAAGGCATGACAAACACCAAAGGAACAAAATCTCCATAGTTTGGAAAAAAGAAGATTGTGGGGGATGGGTGCAAATATTTAATATCCTGAAAGGTTTTGACAAAGATATCCCAAAGGATGACTAAAGGCTTAGTAAAGAAATAGGGACATAATGTAGGAGGTTCTTTATTACAGAAAAGGTTGAATGTCTGGTCGATATGCTCCATTACCTTAAAAAACTTATTGCAGACCCTCGGATCAATGAGCTACTACTGTAGCAACCATGTGAGCATTATGGGTCAAACCGACCTTCATCTGTAAATGTTTTTATTGTCATAAATATAAGGTGATCTGAATAAAAGGGTTCTCATATGGGCAAAATGTAATCATTATCAGAATGTTTCCTGTACTTAAGGTTCTACTGTATGAAGAAAATTGTTAAGTAGTACCTTAACCAAAGCTTAAAAGACATGATTACATCGTGACTAGCCGTATTTTCTGTTCCATTTTTTTAAGGGAAAACACATGCTTGCAGGGCCTTAAGCCTTTTAGAAAAAGTGAATCAGATTAACATACGGCACACTTTCTCCCAGTCCGGTCCAGAAAATCCACTAATGTCAAAAACCAAAATATTTACTTTTAAATCTTTGGTTCTCTGCGCTGCAACTCTCTGGGAACTAAACAGACACTGGGAATTATTCACTGTGTACCCCACCATTTAAAATAGTGTGTTCCAAGACTGACAGGAAAAAAACATTCCCCATTTTACTTAGTTTCTCTTGTTGCTAAGAAGGTTCAAATACAAACAGTAAAAAACTGCTGTGTTTTATGGGCCCTTTAAGGATTGTGGCGATTTATTTTCTCCTCGTTCAGACAAGTATTTCATTTGCAGCACAACCTGAAACCTATTCTGTTTCATGACGTGCAGAATTGTATAACCGATTTTAAGGGTGAATCCAGAATGCTGCTCAGTACAGCCTGTGTGTTCGACTCATCAGAAGGAAGAAATGTTACCTTAATCCCAGGTGGCAACAACACATCTTTAATCCTGCCGTTGGTCCTCTTGAGGCTGAAGACAAGGGCTCAGACACACACCCACACACTTAACCGACACTGGTGCCTCGCACACAGTGGTGTCGAAATGGGTGCAGTCACTGTGCCGAAACCTGCTTATTTTTTCAGCACTTAAATTTCCATTAGAGAGTTTCTTGGAAATTGGAAGTAGGCAGCAATTATCGTGGAGCGCGTTAAGTGGCCTTTTCTGCAATCACTCAGTAGTTCAGAGCAGGAGTATTAAAAACAGATTCAGCGTTTGGCAGTGCGCTCCTTTTCTGGCAGCCTGAAAATGTCTGCATTTTCTTTTTCCCTTGCAGCTGTGTCTTTAGTGTAAGATGTTCAAGTGACATAATAGGGTCTTTTATTAATAAATATTGGGTATTGAAGGTGGCTATGGTGTTCTCTGTTCGCTTTGCAGCATCACAGCGGGGAAATGTTACCAACTGAAAACTGGGGAAAAAAGTTTTTGGCACTCGATGGAGACTAAGAGCCCATGAAGTGTTGTACATGAATAAAAGTTGATACCAGTGGTGCGTTTTCTGACTATTCATTCAATTGGTCTTCCCTGATCCTCAACTGTAGCATCTAATTGAGGAGTTATTTAGACAAATGCAATCTACTGCTGTCCCAGCGTTTTAGCATAAAATTGCATTAAATTTGAAATTGAGGTGTGATTTTGTCTAGTCCTGCATGTTAACCCAATTTTAAAATCTAGTGATGGCAAGTGCAGGTACTTATGATGGAGCACTTATTTTGCTTTGCAAACCAAATGTATTTATAAACCGATAGTGGCGAGTTGATCAATTTGGTCATGCTTCTTGAATTTATTATAGTATTCAAAAAGTCTCAAGGGCACCAACATTCAATTCAGTGAATTTCTTCCGTTTCAATGTTGAAACAGGAACCAGAGGTCACAAGGGTCAACTACCTGAAAGTGCATTTAAGTACGAGAACAGGGGACATTTCTTTACACAGAGGGTAGATTATTCCATTCTCCCACAACCCAGCCATGTTGATGAGGCCCAAACCCTGGATGCTTTTACGAAAGTGCAGTTTGAGACCCACAGATCAAATAGCTGCTGACGACCAAATAGGCTGGATGGTCCAGATAAGTAACCTCTCTTATGTTCTTATGAATACACTGTCAAGTTCTGACCACAAAAAAAGTGTAAATATTTTAGCACTAGGGACAAAAATTCACAGGTGCCTCACCTCTCTGCTCTCGGTATGGGCAATATCTCTCTGGCGCAGAATCTGTCCGATTGGTTGCAGCCTGAAGCCGAATTGTGCTGCCAATGTAGTGTAGGCCTCAAAGACAATGGATGAGATTTTATAGCCGTGGAGAGTCAGAAAAATTAATATGAATGAAGAGAAGGTCCATTTAGGGGCTATAATCCTAAAATGTTTCACCAAATTAATTAGGAAAACTTGTTTTGTCATAGAAATCTTCCTTTACAACCAAGAAAAAAAATAAAAGGTTAAACCCAATGGGAACCAGTTTTGAGGAATTTTGACGACCGTGAAGAGTTGTTCTCTTCTTTGCAAAAAAACAACAACTAATCATTCTAGAAATAAATCTCTCCCTCCTCCCAGTGCCTGGGACTTGTTCTGCTGGTTTATCATCGTCGCTCATGGTGTCTGCTGTCTGCTGCCACAGTTCATGGCCCAGCTGAAGCTCATGGACTACAGCCTGCTGGTGGGTATCCACGACGTGGAGAAGGCAGAGCAGGAAGAGATGGAGTGCGAGGAGAACGAGGGGGAGGAGGACGCCGAGAGCGATGGCACACACCCTGTGGGGACCCCCCCGGACAGCCCCAGCAACACCCTGGACAGCTCCAAGCCCATGGGCCCTGGGGAGTTTGACCCCGCCATCGATGTTTACGCCATAAAGAGCCATGAGAGTAAGTTCCGCAGGGACACAACAAACGCTTACATGCCCAGGGGTGTGCGTCTAGTGTCCGGTTTTCGCTAACTGTGCACTACAGGTCAGCATAGTAATGAACGACAAGGTTTTCTTTGCTCCCAAGCTAAAGCATGTAAATCTAACAGCTATGAAAGGTCCTAGTCCTCCTTTAGTCTGGGGAAATACAGCTGCTCAAGATATGAAGCAAAATGAAAATGGAAGCCAACATTAACCATTTAAAGTGAACTGTTGAAGCACATTTTTATTGCAAAAAACATGTTCATTTTCTGAATATGTTCATGAAGTCAGATTTTAAGACTGTTGTTTTTAAACAAAACTGTAGGGAGAAGTCCTGAAAGTTTCTTAACCTTTTTTTCCTACAGCTTTTTCTTTTCTTGAGTAGGGCTGAACGGCCCGTTCTCGTCATGAAATGATCTGATGTTCTTCTTTCCTGCTGAGCTTTTCCGATGTCAGAATGAGCCGCCTTTGTGGGGAAGCATTTGATGGGAACATTTTTTTTTTTAAGTTGGCTTCTCTCTCCCTTTAAGGACCAGAATAAAGAAATATCTCCTCATGCCTCAAAATAGTCAGACACGACTGCTAGATTTTGGCAACCTTGTAATTGTTTTTCTGTGTTTTTGATGAGAATCATTTTTTAAGAACTGTTTTGTCAGAAATGCACTGTCTGAAGTCTGTCAGGCCTGTCTTTCATGTACCTAAACTACCATCCAGAAGTGATGCAAGATATCTGTGGTGTGATATTCTGATTAATGTGTGTTTTATTTCTTCAGGAAATTTACTTTCCCTGTGTCGTGATTAACTGCCTAGCTGGTTTATTTTAGTTGCTTTCTCTTGTAAAGTGCTTCATGTGTGTCTATTCTAGCTGCTCCACGGAAAGAAGTTTATTTCATGGCGATAATTGACATTCTCACACATTACGATGCAAAAAAGAAGGCTGCCCATGCTGCCAAAACGGTTAAGCACGGGGTGAGTAACATGATTGTAGTTCTGGTGTCTGGGACTGTATTAGGTGTGTACGAAACTGTAATGGCTGATTCATGATTAATTGCAATTGCAGTCTGATTGCTGACTGTTGCACAGTTGTAACCATGAGCCCCTACTTATAATATAATCCCTTCTGTAATCTGTGATATAGTTGCCTCACTGAGTAATAATTCCAGCAACACTATTATTGTGAGGCAGCAAAAGATAAACAGAGCAGGTCACCACTAGTCCAGGTATTTCCGCACCAAATCCCAAACCAGCACCAGGGGGCTTGCAGACAGATGTTTTTTTCACAAGTTGCCATTTATGAGTCTGAAGTTTTTGATTTAGATGTACTTTTGGCTAGCGTTGTATGTCATGACGTCTCTGTAATTCAGGACGAATAATTAGAACCAAAAACAAGTGCCCCTTACGGAGTGCACTAAAAAGTGAATTGTTTCACTTCTATTAGTCTGTTCTATTCTAGAATAAAACTAATGAATGCTCTTTGAAATACAGAAAATGTTGAATTTGGGAAAACAATACTGTAACTCACCCTGGATAAGATCATCAGTGATGCTGCTAATAATATTCTCATTAGCTGTGATATAGTGGGCACAAGTGTTTTCCAAAATAAAAAGCAAATGTTGAAAAAAGAATCATTGTTTTTGCAGCGTGAAACGCTTGCCTTAGGGTAAATGGTACAGTTCTGTCATTAGTAGCACCAAGTGACAATAATAAAACCGAAATAAACAATTTTGAAAACTTGGGCGCTAGATCTATCCATTAGCTGGAATAAAAATGACTTTTTCCAGTACACATAACACAAGAGGATCGAAGATATGTCTGTAGTAATTACCAATACAGGATCTTGCTTCAATAAATTTATATTTCTAAAACCTATTGCTGTAGTCCTCAGATAAATGATGAACATTTTGATGTGCACTTCTATGGAGACTGTCAACATATACACAATGATAGTAAACCATTTTCTAAACTAGCTCATACCTAAACAGCCTAACGCAGTCTATTTGGAGGGTATTTTACGATGACAGGATTTTTGTGTGATATGACTATTCGGTGGATAAAAATCTCATCCGAAATTACACATCTGGAAATGTATGTAGTAACTTTCACAAGACACTGGAGCAAACTCTACAAAACGAACTTATAGTGTTTATGAAAGGTCTGTTTCTTCAAGTGTTTCGAAGATCAATGAAAAGACGTGCTCTGATAGAATCGCATTGTCAGATGTTTTAAGACTGTTGCGTTTATGTTGACTCATGTTAATTCTTGCAGTTTCATTTTTAAATACACTTTTCAGTTGCATTTCACCATTTTTCAAGCAGAAGTTTTTTAATAGTTTCTGACCATTGTGCCAAGTTAATATTTTTTTGGGGAAAAAAAAGTTGCTTTTCATATCATGATGTGAAATTATAACATGTAACATAATGGATAGCTTTGATGAAAGAAGTAGTATAAAACTGTTTTTTTGTTCTATAAATTAGTGTGAATTTTACCCACACATAATCCCCTAGGACACCTGTGTGAAGATTGTCACGATGCTCTCTGTGAATTTGCACTGAAGTCAAAAGCACGAGTAACCCTCGGTGTGTTTCTCGCAGGCTGGTGCAGAGATCTCGACTGTGAATCCAGAGCAGTATTCCAAGCGGTTCTACGACTTCATCACCAACATCTTGACATAGTCTGCCACCGGGGCGCGGGGCACAGAGGGACAAGTGACAGAGGGGCCCCAGCAGTGTCTGGCGAGGGGCGGGCACACAGCCTGAGTTGGCCTATCACAGAGCAGCTACAGTCGCAGCCA